TATATACTAGAAAGTTAAAGCGTTTTTCATCTAAAGCTTTCATAAATAAGTCGGCTAGTTGAAAGTCTGTATTTACAAAATACAATTCAATAGTTCCTTTTTCAACATGATCTTTAATAAAGTGATACCGGATATCTATATGTTTGGTCTTAGTGTGTTGAACAGGATTACAAAATGCTATTGCACTCTTCGAATCACAATAAATTGGAATTTTATTAAAATAAAAACCGTAGTCTCTGAGCTGTGTCTGCATCCATAATACTTGAGAACAACAGCTAGCAGCAGCTACGCATTATGCTTCAGCGGTAGAGATGGATACATGGTTTTGTTTCTTGGAAGTCCAACTTACGAGCTTATCTCCCAGAAATTATAAATGACCCGAGGTACTTTTCATGTCTAACATACAACCTCGTAATTTGCATCTGAGTATGATGTTAGTTCAACGCTAGTACCCTTGGGACACCAGAGTTCAAGATTGGCAGTCCCTTTAAGATAACGAAAAATGCGCTTAACGGCACTTAAATGGGACTCCTTTGGATTAGCCTGATATCTGGCACAAAGATGTGTTGAAAACATAATATCCAGTCAACAAGACGTTAAATACATTAAAAACCAATCATTCCTCTATATGTTTTCTGATCTACAGCTTTTCTAGATGGATCAGCATGTATTTTGTACCATGAGTCATAGGTGTTTTGCTAGATGAACAAATTTCCAAATTTAATTTCTTCAGGATATCATAAATATTTTTTTTTTTTGACAGATAAGAATACCCGAAGATAATTGTTTGACTTGAAGTCCTAAAAAGATGTTCATCCCACCCATCATACTCATTCTAAAACGAGAAACCATTAAGGCAAAAAAAATTTGCAGTATTTTGGGTTCGTAGATCCAAATATTATATCATCTACATAAATTTGTATCAAAATAATATATGACTTCTCCTTTTTAATAAAGAGAGTTGTGTCAATGTTATCTTTCGAGAAACCTGATTATACTATAAATTCTGATAAGATATCGTATCGGGCTCTTGGTGCTTGTTCAAGACCATATAAAGCTCTGTCAAGGATATATATGTGATTCGACTTTGACTAATCCACAAAACCCTCCGGTTGAGCATAATAAACTTCTTCCTTGAGAAGACCATATAGGAATGTCGTCTTGACGTCCATCTGATACACAATGAAATTCTTGTGTGCAGTGTACGCTAGAAACATTCTTATAGCTTCAATCCGTGCTACCGGGGCAAAGGTTTCATCTTAATCAACACCTTCTTGCTGATTGTATCCTTTCGCGACGAGTTCAGCCTTATTTCTGACAACAACTCCATCTTCATCCTTTTTATTCTTGAAAACTCACTTTGTACCGATAATCGTTTTATAATTGGGACGCGGAATTAATCTCCAGACCTTTAATGCTTCAAACTGATTCAGCTCCTCTTGCATCGCAATTATCCATTCTGGATCTGCTAAAGCTTCAGACACCTTAGTTGGTTCAATATTACTAGGAAACTGGAGTAAAGACACTCATTAGCAGAGGCTGACCGAGTGCGAATAGATGCAGATGGATCACCAAAAATTTTATGTATTGGATGATCCCTGGTCCACTTTTTGCTATGAGGTAGGGGGATATAAGAACTTTGATCTGAATTTTGATCAGTATAAGCATTGGGGGAATTATTTGCAACAGGTTCAGGTGAAGGTTCAATGTTTGGAACTGAAATAGGCTGAATATTTGACTAAGGAAATGTATTTTCATCTTATACGACCGGCACATCTGGCAAATCAATATTTGAGCCCTCTTCACACTGAACTGGACAATCAGGAGTTTTCATTTGTATTTCTTCTTCACCCTCCTCTAATTCTTCTTTAGTTTCAGTCACTGGAACATCAGCAAATGGACCAGATAAATGTTGTTCGGTTTGAACATTCTTGGACAAATCATTGGACTTATTAGATTTATAATCAAAATATTCATCGTAAAAATTCTCAAACAAAGAATCTAAATCAGAAAGATTAGAATTTGAAGATTCAACGTTATCTGCTTTCCGCGAAGTGTTAATTATCAGCCCGAGTCCTGAACCGTTTTGTTCAGAAGCCACATCAATCACTTCATCGAAAGAAACGTTGACGCTCTCATTGATGATTTTCATCCKTTTATTGTAGACTCTGTATGCAGCAGACGTTTTTTAGTATCCTATGAATACTGCTTCATCAGCCTTCACAGCGAACTTACCTCTGTCCTCTTTATCATTTAAAATAAAATACCTGCAACCAAATACTCGAAAGAATTTGATATTAGGCATTCCTTTATTTATAATTTTGTATGGAGTTTTACCAAACCTTTTGTGTACAAGAGATCGGTTCTGGGTAAAACATGTAGTCGCCACAGCTTCAGCCCAAAGAAATAATGGAAGCTTAGAACAAGTCAGGAGTGTACGCGCCGCTTCCACCAAGGTTTTATTTTTCCGTTCAACGACACTATTTTGTTGCGGTGTCCGGGCTGCTGAGAAAGTATGTGTAATACCATGGGATTCTAAGAATGAGCCAAAAATATTGTTCTTGAATTCAGCTCTATTATCAGTTCTGATTTTCTGAATTGTCAGTTGTAGATTAATTTGAACAGTCTTCAAAAACGAAATAATTGTCTCAGCTACTTCGTCTTTTGACCTCAGAAAATGAACCCATGTATATCTGGAATAGTCATCGACAATGACTAGCACATACTTTTTCCAATTTATGCTTTGTACTCTCATAGGACCACAAAGATCCATATGGAGTAAATGAAGAGGACGTTCGGTATTGAACTCTGTTTTCAACTTGTGTGAAGCTTTCTTCAGTTTACTCATTTCGCATGCGCTGCACACATGGTCTTTATGAAACTTTAAGTCTGGAATTTTTTTAACCAATTTGTTCAGATTTTTGAAGTTGAGATGTGAAAGACTCGATGCCACAGCATATTTTCTTCAAGGATGCCTTGGATATCAAGCAGACTTCAATATCCACTTGTGTATTTGATAGGCCGATTGTGTAGAGGTTTGATCTCTGATTCCAGCTAGTAGCTCCTTACCATCAGAAGTACCAATGTTGCACTGGTTAGCTTTAAAACAAACTTCTAGATTTTTATCACAGAATAGACCTATATTGAAAAGATTATGTCTAAGTCCTTCGACATACGACACTTTCTTTATCATTAAGTTTCCAGAAATTACGTCACCGTATCCAAGGATAGGCGCGTATTGGTCATTACCAAATCTTACCGTACATCCAAAATATTCAACAAAATTATATAAGAGTTCTTTTCTACCAGTCATGTGCTTAGAACATCCTGAGTCTAAGAACCACACATGCCGGTTTATCTGCACAATGAATCAATTGGGTTTTGGTACCCATTTTAGAATGGGTCCTTTCATATCAGATTTTGTTTAGTGGTATACTATAAGTACCAAACCAACGCTCTTTAAATTTGATTTTCTTTGACTAAGCAGATAGAGCAAAATGCATGACATGATAAGGTTTAAAATAAGTAAAAGACATAAACATCTCATCCAATCTACACGGAGAATAATTATTTTTACTATTCTTGATATCAAACAATTCATTTACTGAATATTTGTGTACAGTATTATTCAATGTTGAATTATTTAATAAAGAATCAGCAAAACTATTCTTCTCCTGTTGATTCGATGATTTGTCTTCATCTTTCACTCTCCACACCTTCTTAAACTTCAATGAATTATCTGAAATAAAAGCAATAAAATCATCAGTTTTGTATGAATAATGAATCTTTTGTTTATTTTTAATAAGCTTCTTCTGTTTCTTCGAATCCTTTTTAGATTTATTCTTTTTATAATACCAATTCTCAGAAACAGGTTTTTTATTGAAAGTCTTTTTAAAAACTGAAGCTATTTCGGAATCCTCAGTCATTTCATTTTTGACAATAAACTGCTCATGACTGGGTAGTTTCTTCGAGAAATCAAACTGAGAAATCTCATCGTCTAAACAAGTATTTGAATTCAAGATATCAGAAAAATTGATTTCTTCATTTAAAACATTTAATTCTTCTGATTCAGAAGTGTCACTTAAAGATTTTGTACATGAAAAATATTCAGACTCAACTYGTTCCGGTTTGACTTTAGAATTTTCTAAATTTTYWATTTTATTTAGAAATTCTTGTTTTTGTTTATTAAATGAAAGCTTTTCTTCATTTAAAATTTTCTCTAACTGAACCACTTGTTTTTCTAAAATTAATGTTGGTGTATAAGGTTTTGGTTCAGCAGGTTTAGATTCAAGCTCTGCTTGTGAATAACTATGAAAATAATTTGTTGAAAGTGCAGAGACTTGTGTTTTATAGCTTTTATTTAAATTTGTATAGTCAAACGGAACTTGCATTTTGTCTTTTCTTTTTCTGTTAAAATCTTCTTCTTCTTCAACTTCATCAGAAGATTTCATAAATTTTATTTGAAACTCGAGACCATAGACAAGATATTCAAATTTATACAGGGTTGGGGTAAAATATAAAGTTTTTTCTAAACGATTCGGATTTTCATTCCCTAACCCTTCCCGAGGGTTAAAAAATCTTGTTTCAGAAGGCTTGTTTAGAAAAATTGTTTAATTAGTTTGCCCTCTCTTATATAACTTTTCTTCCTTAGCTTTCAGAGTGTCATTTAAAACTTTAATTTGTAACTCATGCTTACTGATTTTAACAATTAATTGTTCATTCACCAATTCAAAAGATTTATATTTTTTCTTTGAATCAGATAATTGATATTTTAAGATGTTGGATTTTTCATTAAAAGATTTTGATTCAGATAATAAAGATTGTGCCCAATCAAAATTTCCAGCATTTTCATCAAAAAGTTTGATGTATTTTTCTTTTTGCATTTCTAACTCTTTTTGAAAATTATTTGAACGCAATTTTTCAGATTTTAATTGTTGCTGAAAACTTTGGAGTTTAAGCATCATCTTTTGCATCTGATGTATGCATGAGTAATCCAATACCTCTTCATTTAGTTCATCATTCTCCTCTTCACACTCATCAGAAGAATCTTTTTCAGTCCTTGCCATCAGACAAATGTGTGCCACAGCTTCTGACTCCTCCTCCTTATCAGTTAGATTTAACCAATGGTCATCTTCAGCCATCAATGCCTTTCCCGCATCTCTTTGTTTTGACAGAAGAAACTTATTCTTATAATAGTCRGTATTTCTTGTAACCGGCTTTCTGCAGTTAACCACAAAATGTCCCAACTTGCCACAATTGTAGCATTTGGTATTCTCGTCTGCCACTCCTTTAATAAGCTTCTTCTCTTCAGGTTTCTTCTCGTACTTCTTTTCGTATCTCTTCTCATCATACTTTTTCTTTTCTCCAAATTTATCTTTAAACTCATATTTTGAACCCGAAGAGAATCTTTGATTATTGGAGTGCGGTTTCTTCTGAAACTTCTGCTGAAAAGCTTTGGTTATCATTGCCATTGCCTGTTTAATTTCATTCATCTCTGAGTCTGAGTCAAAACTGTCACTGTTTTCATTTGACGACTCGCTTGTCTGACTGACTTCTTTTGCTTGCTTACCACACTTGACTTTATTCTTCTTTTCAGAAACAAAGGGCAAAGGATCAGTAACTTCCTTTTCCTTTTTCTTCTTTAAATCTCTGACCTCTAAAACATCTTCCTCATTTTGTTTCAGAGTTGAATATCGATATCAGATAATGATTTATTAAATCTGATATGATTTGCATAAGGCTTCCACGCCGGTTGCAGATTACTGAGGAATTTAACATTTACTTCAATTACAGTTTTAGAAATGCCATTCTTTGTAAGCTCATTCAACATTCTGGTTAGCCTGCCATACACATCATCAAGGCTCTCACCTTCTTTAATCTTGAATTCCTCATAAGCAGTTATGCAGTTTGTGATTTTCAACTGAGTTCCTACCTTAGAACCCCTCATCATCATTTCTATTTGCTTCCACATGTTGTGACCAGAATCTTTATAACTATCAATGCTGGTATAGATTTCATTAGTCAGCGCTTGCATCATGTAAGATTTGCACAACACAGCAGCATATGCTTCTTCTTTCTCTTCAGCTGAATATTTTTCTCTTTCTTTAATCACCATTTAAACAGGTCTGCCCTGTTCAGGAATAGCTGGAGTTTCTCTTAAAATACAGCTGGTCCTTCCAATAATGATTCCAAAATCATTTCTCCCTCTTTCAGTCGTTCAATAAAGTTGAGAAATTTGTCTCTCCATTTGTTATAGTCTCCTTTGAAAAGAACTGGTGGGTTGGTATCAGTACCAATTGCCATCGCTTCTCTTGAACTCATTTTATCTGATTTCAGATCTTATGCAGTTCAAAATTTGATTCAAAGGACTAAAATTCAAAAATATCTCAAAAAGTCGCACACAGAGAATTTACACACATTCATCACTTAAAAAAATATCAACACTTAGACTTATCCGGATTAAAAGTCCGGACAAGCTTATCCGGATTGGAAGTCCGGACAAGCTTATCCAGATTGGAAGTCCGGACAACTAAGTTTGTCAAATCTAAGAAAATCGCACAGGTTATCCAGATTAGATATCCGGACAAAACACTTAGTCAAAATGTCCACAATTAACAAAACTCAATACAGACACAAAAAGTCAACAAGTCAACAAATGTAATCTGATCAAAGCAATATACGATTTAATAGTCAAACAATGAATCCAATCAACAAACAAAGTCAAACTATGTAAATCGCTTGACATATAAAGTCAAAATCCACACAAGAATAGTCAAAGTCAAAATCTGCCCACACAGATTAAATCGCACAAACCATAATACAATCAATATTAAATCAATCACAAAATCAAACATATTGACTAAATCGCACACTAAATCGCAAAAGATTACAATCGGATTAATACTAAATCGCACACAATGTCGCGGTTTAACACTAAATCGCACACAGTATCAAGCGATTTATTTCTAAATCGCACACAGAAATCACAAATTCACTAAGTCTCAAATCGAACACAATACTAAGCGGATTATCCTAAATCGATCAAGATAGTCTCCGGTTTATCTTCACGCACAAACACAATTTTAACAACCTTTCACCAAAATTTTGGATCAAAACTCGAAAATTTAAGAACTTTTGAACGAACAGAAAGTTTTCTAAAAATCCAAAAGTCCTTCAAAATTGCCTCAAAACTTGATTAATTTGCAAAATTGTGTGAATCAATTTTGATCAAAATGTAATCGCGAATCTAGTAAACCAAATTTTAACAATTAACACTCAAAAATGATGAGATTAGAGTAGAAAATTTGAAATCCGGTGAAGAACATGAAGAACACTGCGATGAACAGTGACTAAAATCCAAAAAATCGTGCGAAATTCCTTGAATTTTGTGTAATCCTTCTATATATCAACATATTTTATGAAAATTATGCAAATGTGGAATTTATTAAAGATTTAAAACGGAAACATAAAGAAAGAAGTGAACGTGTTGAAAAGGACTTCATGCTTAAGATTGAAAATCTTGAGAACACTCTGAATTCTGTCAGAAAAGATTATGATGATGATTTAAAAATTTGGAGTAAAGCTAATGAGGATTTGTTTAATAAACTTCAAGAGGTTATAAGTGAATTTCAGGTTGAGAGAAACTCTCCAAGGAATAATACTGAGACTGAGGACTTAACTGAGAAATTTCGTAAGTCTGAATGTGATATGTTTGAGTTAAAGAAGTTACTGGACTTCGAGAAGAAAAAAGTTTTGGAAACTGAGAAGATTTTAAATACTGAAAGGAATGAATTTGAGAAAGAGAAGAAAATGATGAATGATTTAGAGAAACAATTTGGTGTTGAACGTGTATCTTATGAAAATAAGATCAACTCTCTTGAGTTGAACGCTAAATTGCTTTTGAATCAAATCCCAGATTTTGAGCAGCTGATTATCTTGGAACGAGCAAAGATAGATAAAGAAAAAACGACATTAGAGAAGAATGTCTGAGCCAGAATCAGAAAATATCTGACTGCATTGCTCAAAAGCAGAAGGCTTTAAACGAAGAAAAGAAGCAATTTGTGCTTGAAAAGAGAAATACTACAAAGAAATATGCAGCTATAGCTAAAGAGCTTGCAGAAAAAAAAAGTGGTTCGACATTGCCTCTGAAAATGAGAAAAGCAGCTCAGATGAAGAGAGAAGAGAATTTGATAATTAGAAGAAGAAATTTGAGAAACTTAAGAAGGAGTTAGAAGGTAAACTCCTGAATACTTCAAAGAACTTGTCTGATCTGAAGACAAAACTTGAAACAGAACAGAAAATGAGAACTGAACTTAAAGAGAAGTATGATTTAGTTGCTATTGAACGAGACCAGCTTTTAAAGAAAGTAAAAGACTTTTCTTGTGCTCAAAGCTTAACTGGTTCTCCTTCACAGTGTAAAACTAGCTTTTATAATTGTTTCAAATCAAACAGTTATTCAAGCAACCCTAAATCAATTGTTTCTAAGAACTATTCTTGTTCTTCTAATCAGTACTATCAAGGGTACGTTATCGGATCACCCAATCATTCATTTAAAGTTAAAAGCATTTGGGTTAATAAGTCTGAATCTGTTTCGTCCCGTAATTCTATTGTTACTAATAATAATCTTCCTTGTTTTGTGAGATCCACTTCTGACTTGATAAATCTTGACAAGAAAAGGATCATGTTCTTCACATGCAAAACTACTGATTTTGTGAACAGGAGGAGGTACAATAGGTGGACTGGCGACTACAGATTTCAGAAAAGTTGGAAAGGAAATAACAGGTATGATAACAATAACTGGTATGGATCTTACTGAATCAATAATCATTCTGTTAAAAGCGCGAAAAAGAAATCATCTAACAATAATAGATGGTTTGGTAGTTACAATATCCCACAACCTGATACTAACAAAGAAGGATCCAAGTTCGTTTGGGTACCAAAAACTGTTTGATCTTATTTTGCAGGTGTGTCATTATCGCGCTGATCAGAATAACATGCCAATGATGCACAAATTCAGGGGGAGTTGTACACTGTTCAATCAGAGGCTTCTGAACAACATAGTTCAGGACCCATGCTTAATTGAATGTGGTTTCTAAACACCCAGTTTAGGGCCCGTGCTAAAAATATTTCCGTTTTTTTTTATTTTTGAGCTGAACTGAAACATTACTTAAATCTATTTTCTAGGGGGAGTCTCTAGAATTTTTGAATAAATGTTTTTCGAAAAGTGGAATTTTTTAAGGAAACAAGTACATTTTATGAAAAGGTATTTCCTGAGATTTTACTTGCGTAATTTCTCATCGAACATCACTCTAATACCTGTTTCAGCTATTCTTGAAATTGTTATTATCATGTCTCGTAAATAATATCATTTTTTGTGATAATACGCTCGTTAGTATTCAAAGTTTGTTTTCTGATTTTTTTTACTTTGATTGATATATATTCTATAATACGCTTGTTCTTACAGATCTTCATTTGTTTCTCTCACTTACTGAATAATCTGATTTTGAACGTCACTCCTTCATTGATTGTGCTTAAAAGTCATATCTTGATCACTTTTATATTTGATCATTGTACTTCATTGCATTATCATTTTGATCAATCATTGTGATCAACTGCGCTTACAATGTTATTTTAGGAGGGACTGAGTGCTTAACAGAAATATCTCTATGGAATGCCAGAAACGACAGACCAAATCAAGAGGACAACCATATCTGAGTGAGCTTAAACTCAAAAAGGGTTTGTGTGATGAGATTAAAATGAAACAGAGAGGGGTAGTTGTTGTGAGACAAAAGAATTGATGAGAGTTGTGTCAGGATTATAATATTATAAGAATCCTGTTCCAAACTTCAAATTACCGAGCATACCACATAATCTATTAGTTCTCAAGTCTTTCGAGACTAATATTGAAAAAGGCAAATTCCAAGCCAATTCTTGTCACAACCCCACCAGCTATTCATTTATCTCTCAACAGATAAGTGTTTCAATAACACTTGGGGCACGCAGCTCACAATCTATCAATTTCTCATTCGGAGAAAGTTGATATTAAAACAGAAGGATATATGTCCTCCCTTCAAGTCTTTTCGATCACTAAGAGTTAGATAAATTTGTGTAGTCCACACGGTTTATCTTTTTTAGCCTAAATAGAAGCATATGTTGCTTTATCTTTCTACACTACACAGATTGCATTTAATATGTTAATTTGCCGAAACATTCATAGATATTTTTTTATAAGATATCGATGATTGAATGGAAGACCTGGTGAGATGAGCCTCATAAAGTCTCATCTATACAGTACAACCGTTGTACTGAGTATATCTGTTATACTCACAGGACAATCTTTTTATAAGATTGAAAACAATTTCATTCATTGAAATTGGTTGTTACCTTCCCATTCCCTTTAATTTGAAAAGATTAAACAAGTGGATTTAAACAGATCTTCTTACAATATTTATGAATTGAAGGCTTTCACTTAAAAATTTCATTCATTCAAATGTATGATGTAATGCTTCTCATTTCATCATAAGGGGGAGTATGTAATAATGAATGAAATGCTCAATTCCGAACGATATAAGGGGAATATGTTGTAAAGAGCAAGGGAGAGTAACATCAAAGTCGGCAAAAGACTCAAAAGAAGTATGACTGGAGATTATTACTAAAGATTATTCATGTGCTAAAATGTCTGAGAATTTTTGAATGTGAAGATCATCCTTATAAAAGTTTACTGATAGAAGTTTCTCAACAAAGAAGAATGTTTGTGAACTTATCTGAAGAAATTCGTTTTTGGGAAGAATGTTAGAGTTTGTTGTCTGAAAATTCTTTGAAGATCATATCTTGAAGATCGTTTCTGAAGATCTTTGATGATATTGTTCTACATTGTCAAAAGAAAATATCATTGTTGTTCTACATTCGAGGGAGAGAATGTTAGAAGATTTTTCTCAACAAAAGATCATCTGTAGATTTCGATGTAAAGTTTGTTTTTGAAGAAGTCATAAAGTGTTTAAAGAGACAAAGTTCAAACGAGATTCAAAGCGCGTAAATTCTTTCAAGCCTGAATACAAAGGGGGAGAATGTTAGGACTGAATTTCAGTAGTAAATTGTATTCGTCTTGAAAGTTAC